GGCAGGCTCATCGGGTCAGCTCTTCAAGCTCGCTAAAAGCCTGACAATTTTTGAGCTACTAATATACTTTAATAAGCTTCAAAGCAAAATGACGTCAGAATCCGAGTCATGCGCAGATCTAACATCAGTATCAAGGACTCTTTCTGAAGTAAAAACTGGGTTTTGAGGACATTTTGGTTCTTATAAACGATACCAGACGTCCATCATTGTTTGTGTTGTATTAGATATGATAATTAACTAAAATTTTAAAATGTTTGTTTGTATTTGCTAGTTTTTTACATATTAATTTTTCAAATACTAAACATTTATCTTTTAAAAAAGACTTCAACACCTACGACACGAGTTTTTACAATAAAAAACGCGTGTGTTGTATTATAAATTCGTTATAAAAAACTATTTCAGGTTATATGGACAGTTTTTAGTTTATATCACCTTACAATTGTCTGTAATCGGTCATAATTAAAACCTGTCAAATTATATATAACTCATAATATGATTTTTAAACTGGCCCTGGTCTATTTTTTTACAACTTGAAACGCGTATTGTTGAACTGGTCATTTCAAAAATGCTAAACTCATTTTGAAAATCAATGAATTAGACGGGGAGTACATTGTAACCATGGCCTGCTAGTATTTTATAAGTACAATGGATATGCATAATATGCATAATGCATTAGGAAAAAAAAACAACACCTCGCCGATATTGGATAGTTCTTTCCCAAAATTTGACGGTAAGGGCCGAAATGCTGGGATCTTATTCGGGTCCACATGTACCGACTTTGGTTAATTCAAAAGTAATTATGCCAGGTGAGACTGTTTAAATGACACTGGTTGGAATAAATAAGAAATCTTCATCACTCATTTTTGCTTAATAGGATTTTCTTTCTGATAAATGACCGACATTTATTCTACAAATGTACCATTTTATTGTGATTGTAAAATTCTTTATCAGGGGCGACAAACGGAATGATATGCGGTCACGATGAAAACGTTACCACGATACGTACATCAATTTTGACAACTGAATGCAAAAAATAGAATGCCTTGCGTATTAAATACCACACCAAATTGTACGCCATAACAAAACAATCTATTTCATCTAGAATAAATTTGATTTGTGACGAGATTGACTGAAGTCACGTATTTATATGACAGGCATGACTAACACGGATGCTGAGATTTCCGTTACATGTAAATCTGATATATGAGAGATGCCACGAAAAGGGTGCTCCTTTTAAAATGACGTCAATGAAATATTTTTGCCGTTTTTTTGTGTGTGTGTTTTTTTTGTTAATTTGTCGAACTCCGTTTTGTCGCATTGTCGAATTCAGATATAATGATTTTCTTTACATTGTATTTTAATGATCGTACACCGAATAATTATAAATCCGAAAGGAATTTCGTATTGTATATGTATAGCGCATATAACTTTATTTATGAATCTTGAATATCACTGCCGATTTTAAATGTAAGAAATATACAGTTAAAGATAAAAAAATAAACATTCATTCATTACATTTAATTTTTCGCAATCTATATCATGTTTTACATGTATAACAATATGCAATATGTCCGAACTTACTGTATTTATCTCCAAAAGTTCCACCCTTTACCAACGTATCTTTGAAAAATAATATATAAATTATGTGGATAGGAAGTGTCTTATGCTATATTATGCTAGCTTATATAATAATATTTGTCCACTTGATGATTTTCTAACATTTATTTTCTAAATGTTCATAACAATCAACATGAATCTGAAGGCGAACCTTAAAAATACTTATTCCAAGTATCATTCAGAGTAAAAATAACAATTTCCGCTCATTTTCTTTGTAACATATGCCCTTTATTCTTATTTTCCTGATAAACTTAATTATAAGTATACAACATTAATAAAGAAAATAAAAAGCACTTTAAGTCGGCTTATAAGATAAATAAATCACTGGTATACAACACTTTTCACACTTATATAGACAAAAAATATACTTTTCATCTTGCTCATTATTTTCTATGTCGTGTAGAATTAGTAATATATTACACGAGATTGACTACTATAATGGTGATAGACAAATAATTGATGATGAAAAATGCTCCGGATAATATATCAAAAACTACCTAAATTATCAAAAAGACTGTCCCACTCTGCGCTTCCACAAGTACATTCCGAACAACGATATTTATAGAAATTGCAGTGGGTCACGTGGTTTGATTGTGTTTGAATATTGTAATACATGTATAGAATTGAACACATTTATGGAAAAATGTAAACTTATTTTGATCTTTACATGTGCACCCACCATTTTTTTAAAAACACTTTGATGGACATAACGTCACTTTAAGACTTACCTTAATGGTAAAATCATAAATCACTTATAATTTTTACAAGAAGACATATCACTGAACTGATAAATTACACGGACATTCAGACAGACAAAGGTAATTGTCTAAATGGAAAATGCTAAGTCAAACCATGCAGAAAGGATGTATTTACATAAGCCAACAACGCGTTATAACGTATTATGCAATGAAATTATTTGCAACAGTAGAAATTCGAAATGACACACAGATCAGTCAGGGTGTTCCATCCATTAATTTTATACTTTGTATAAATTCGTCAAACTCCGTCACTTTCCGTTTACACAGAAAAATATTTTGTATTACAAAATGATAATTCTTTCTTTATTTTAAGAAAACATTTTTGAGTTCGGATTTACCTGTGGGGGTTACTTAGCTAACATAGACGTTTATAGTCTTAAATTATTTTTCATTCCTCCGAAAGTACCATTACCAGATCAAAAATATTTGGCATGTGACATCATTCTATAGTCTTCAACAAAAGATATATTGATTATTCCCCAAGAGACAAAATATAACCTCGCCCTTGAGGTCACTAAGCTTATGGACGTATATCGGAGAAGTCCTCTGATGTAATAGTACAATTCTAAAAGCTTAGATATTTGACCTGTTGTATCGAGTAGAAGACCTCCCCAAAAGCAACATTGCAAATTAATCATACACCTAGGGACAAATACCTAAGGTCATTGCGTATCATAAGGATTATTACACAAAACATGTTTCAGCCAAGCTTCATGAATGGTTCTATTCCCTGATTAAAATACTATTTCTGATGACTGAAACAGGTATACATTCAGGGGTATATTGCAACATCTTTGCAGGGTTATTTATTGTGCGTTTTACTACATTTAAAAATGGCGAGATCATGATGGATTTACTCCCTTAAATTTCATAAGCAACCCTTTATTTACGATTGCATATGAGTGCAACCATCACTTTTACGTAAATATCATCGTAAGTCACTTAACATCATTTCTACAGGAACGTCGCTTACCGCAGTCAATAGTTTAAATATTGACATCAAAATTATCTTTTTTTGAAACATTATTATTCAAAGACACTACCAAGCATCCTTCCCCAATTGGGATACAGCGGTCACTCGATGTTACACACTTCTTAAGCCTTTCCGTTAGGTTTGGTTGTGCTTCAGTTCTTATTTCTTCATACAAAAATGTTGCCCACTTTTAATTCAAATATTGACAGGACAACATGCAGCGTGACTTTTTAAATGACATTTTCCATATATAGAAGGAAAAAGTATATAAGTCGGTTAATGAAAGCAAATTAAATATATACGCCATTGAGAAACCCTCCCATTTTTCTGTCTAACATTAATTATCAAGTGACTATAAATCACCAGCAGCTAAAAGATATTTTCATTAAAAAAGAAGAAAAAAACACCTTAATTGTATAAATCAAAGTATCAGGTTTAACTTCCTGATACATTGCTCGTATTTAAAACACATCGTTGTCTTAGAGAGAGGGTGTTTTTCTTTCTTTTTTTAACATCCCGATCCCTTTAACATGTATGAATGATGATTAAAAATCTCGACTAAGGTTCAGAAGATGTTTAGAACGCAGCAAAATAAGTAATATACGTTATACATGCTTTCTGAAGTATGACCAATAATGCATGAGATGAAGCACAAACTTATAAACGTCTTTTAAAGGTACATTCACCGGACAATATCTATGTTAAAATCACCATATTAAGTAATGAATGAGTAATACATCTGTTTTTTTCTTCATATTTCCAGTCGCTTGATTGTCAGATTTATCAAGGATGTAGTCATTATAGCCATCGAATGTAATAAGAATCTGTTAGCATATACTTACGAAAGACCGGTAGGGCCATTTCAACTTCATGAATTCCCGCTTTCATCTTCATGAATTCACACTTTAAACTTCGTGAATTCCCGTTTTCAAAATACGGAATTCAAGAATTCACGATTCAGCTTCATGAATTCACGACTTCAACTTCACGAATTCACGATTTCAACTTCATGAATTCACGATTTCAACTTCACGAATTCACGATTTCAACTTCATGAATTCACGATTTCAACTTCACGAATTCAACTTCGTGAATTCACGATTTCAACTTCACGAATTCACGATTTCAACTTCACGAATTCAAAATTTCAACTTCACGAATTCACGATTTCAACTTCATGAAGTTGAAATCGAGAATTCGTGAAGTTGAAATCGTGAATTCATGAAACTGAAATCCTGAATTCTTGAAGTTGAAATCGAGAATTCATGAAGTTGAAATCGTGAATTCGTGAAGTTGAAATCGTGAATTCATGAAGTTGAAATCGTGAATTCATGAAGCTGAAATCCTGAATTCTTGAAGTTGAAATCGAGAATTCATGAAGCTGAAATCGGGAATTCATGAAGTTGAAATGTCCCTACCGGTCTTTCGTATATACTAGCATTTTTATTTATAAATCACTGACGTAGACTTCACGTGACTGCGATTTTGTGAACGGAAGTAAAGTCTGATTTGTATAATCAGATCTTTATGAATAGTTTTAGCTGTCTTTCTTACGACACATAGGAACCAGAAATAGACATGTCAGCTACAAATATGATGACAATTCTTATCATTTACATTCTCGTAGATTTTGGCGGGAAAATATAACTTACCGGAAGTCGTGCGTATCCTTCGGAGTCGACATACGACCACGAATCTTCTCGTTTCTTTTGCTGCCCTGTCATACTACGACCATGTTCCGTGACCTCACTAATTGTATCATCAAAACTTCGGTTTCGTCTTTTCTGGTACATGTTTTTGTTTAGTGTGTCACCAGAAACACGAGGCGATGTGTACCTTGATGATATACTTGACTCGAGGTCAAGAGTTCCGGTACTGTAGGGGTTAGAGGTCAAGGTCGAAGATCCGGAAACATATCCCTTGTTTGTGACACCGAGACGCGATTGGCTATTTCCATTATTGCGCCGACCAACAGTCTTTGAGGCGTACAGTTCGGGCTCATTTCCTTTACATTTAGGAGTGTCAATACTTCTTCGTGATTGAGATAAATTCTCCATAGAAATGTTCGAGTACCGCGACAGACTTGCCTGAGAAGCAAGTGATGAGGTTGACGAGTATAAGGAAGCCTGCGGTATCTGATAACTCAAACCCCCCGTGTCGGCCGGCTCGCTCAAACGCCTGATCCAGGACGGTGCAGCCATTGATTATTTCATCTTATCCAAAACTTTATCAAACGATATTTATCAACATTTTCAATAAATATGTCTTAAATAATTAATTGTTCACATATATATTTATAGAAATATCCATATAAAAACCATTCGATATTTATAAAAGCAGACCATATTCGCAGTAGTTGATTATTTAACAACTTAAATTTAAGTAAATTGTCATGTTATTCAGCTCGCTTGATTTCAAATGAGTTCTCAATGGCACAAAGATCAATTACCTATACGTATACATTTGTTTAAGGACGTTTTCATACAAAAAACGCCATTATTGTATTTTAATTTACACGAACAATCAATCAGGCCTTTGTTTGAACCTGGACGGTTATATATTATGACAAAATGCATCTAAATCATTTAAAGGCACACATTCGATACGATTTATGCACATTATATCCATGTTCCAAAGTACACAGCACGAATTTTTTCGAATAATACATCCAATTTAAACTCATTATCCTTCATTTGATGTATATTTTTTATAAGAATATAAAAAAACCAACATTCAATACCGAAAAGAACGGAAAGTGACAAAAATATCCGAAACAAAACAGACGGTGCTCCGTGAAGATTACAATTGCGGATAAGACATAGTATTTCGGACACAACTGTCAGTTTATGACAGCCCTGGGCTGTCTTACCTAATAAAGCCACTGAGTTTTATCATAACCATCTTGTTATATCTGGCAAGGATAGACTTGTATATAAATAAGTATATTTATGGTGACAATCAGCGGCATATAACTATGCTAATTTATGACCACTTTATGTCTGTGAAAAATGCATGAACTCAGTCTAGTTGTCGCAAAAACATATTTTCTGTTCGGCCACTTTAACATTCAAAATTAATCACACTATTGTTGTTTTTCTTTATTTTTCCACACGATCTTTTTACACAACATAAAAATTAGTTCAAAAATATTTACCATGGGAAAATATCAGTTTATTACCTAATTAAACCATGACGCCTCATAAAAGTGCACATAAGGAAAACACCAAATATCCAAAATGATTTTTTTAATAATTATATAAAATTGGTCAAAACATGTTACCAATGTAAAAAAAAATAATTCATTACTTTAAAATTTAACCTTGTCGCTATATAAAGTGCACAAAAATCAAACAACAAATATCCCAAAGCGGTTAAAGTTTACAGTGTAGCGAATTCTTACCCGTCATCACATTGAATAATGACACTATCATTTCATAGATGTCATTATAAACTTATAAACTTACACGATTGTGACAAAAGGTGTACGTCCGCGTCCTTATACCCAACACTGGTGCCATAGAATTATTCAGGGTCTCGAACATTGTTTGACTGAAACCACTATGCCTGGATTTTGAGTGTACGTCGCAGCAACCACTTTACTCTAAACTAGATTTTAGTATTTTCACTAAAATATTTCTAAATTCTAGTATTTTCACTAAAATATTTGCGCTTCAATATTACCATACCTTGTTAGGCGATAGCTTATATTTTATACTTAATCGTGACTATAGTGACAACTTTATGTGGAAAATGTTAAGAGATTTAAAGCTGATCATATTTGTGTTTGCAATATAATATGTTTTACATTGATTTACATTGATTTACATTGATTTACATTGTTTAATTAACATTAATTTACATGCTGACGTAAACAATAGAAATTTCAACAAAAACCAAACAGTGCTATATCATGAACTTAATGAATTAAATATACGATTAATTCATTTTAAACTTAACGCTATAACTTTTTAAAACTTATCATATATATACTTACAAATCACAAACGAATTTGCTTTTATTGTTTTATTTAGGGGAGATATTGTTGAAATGTGTAATCAAATGCTGTGCTAAACTTTTTATTCGGTGCTGGGTAGGAAAAGATTGGTGAATAAAAAAGTATACCAAGCTTAAAGTGAATAGCTTTTATAGTTTCTGAGAAAATTATTATTCACCAATAATTCTACCTTATATCAGTGTCCTTGACTTTTAACCAGAAATTTAAAGCTGCATGCCTTCAGGCGAGCCAAAATATATCTATAGAAAATCAAACTTGAAAAAAAAACCCACAGAAACATTTTAAGAAAAGTAAAAAGTTTAAAGATTCAAGTATCAATTTATATGTTATGTGTTATAAAAGTGTTATGTGTTAATCACGATATTCTATTCCGTGACTCACGAAATATGGGCTAATTTAGCATATTTTGATCTCTTATTTGTGATTGACGTGAGTTGTGAGTGCCGTTTGCAATGTGTAACTAACTTTCTTTGTTCCCTTCACAATATTTTTCACTTTGAAATATATTTTCAAAATTTTCATGACAATTAGCATGAATCTGAACACGTTAGTTCTATCCAGATTCCCAATGTCACTATACATTACAAATAAAGTATATCTTATAGGTACGTTGATGTGTTTATTATATAAACTCTAATGATTATGCTACAATAACATTTTGCTTAGAAAATTACAAATAGATTAAAGTTCATGATTCTTCATTTACCATTGTAATACAAATATTATTTAATATTGCATTGTTTACTTGACACGAGGGTAAAATATTTATTTTGAGGACAGTTTTAATGAAAAAGTTTACTTGCAATCCACTGCATGACAATCAATAAGAAAATACTTGTGTCTGTCTGAGACTGAAAATCTATTAAACTACGGAACCTTGCAGTGATGTTTATCTATATGCATTTAAATAATTACGGAAAAATTATATGAAACAATAGATTTGCAAAGATATTTCATTTGTCTGCTGATAAATCTTGTTCAAGTTAGTTACGCTTTCTTAGAGATAAATTATTAATCATACCAGTATTATTTACTCTGTGACAAAATATGTGCTCGTTTTTTTTTTTACTTTTATTGCAAGAACCAGATAGTTAGCCTATTGATATTGTGATATTTAATTACCCAAAACACTGTCAAATGTACGTCCATGCATCCAAAGCTAGGGAACTTTGATTGTTCCTTTAGAATGGCTATTGCATGAACATATGAAAGTGATGCGTAGTTTTAAGTTGAAAACTTACCCTGTGATTGACATGTTTTCTTCTTCACATATCGAGTTATAACTTACATCTGGATGAGGGGAAATTCACATATATGTTTGACCGATGTTCAATTTTGAGATCCATATGGGGTTCCACCCCCGTTTGTAGGTCTAGCTTTATAGTGGGGCTGTTACCTAGAGCTAGCCTTAACGTCCTTGTGCAGGGATTAGTAAACATTTACCTAGAGCTAACCTAAATGCCCTTGTGCAAAGAGTATTAAACATTCACCTAGAGCTAACCTTAATGCCCCTGTGCAAAGAAAGAGTATTAAACATTTACCTAGAGCTAACATGCAGATACTATAAAATATTTACCTATGGCTAACCTTAATGCCCTTCTGCAGAGAATATCAAACATTTACCCAGAGCTAACCTAAATGCTCTTTTGCAGAGAGTATTAATGCCATGGCATGCAGGGGTTTAAGAGAAGGTATAAAATTTCGCATATCGTATAACAGTATTCGTAGTTTATGCAACACTTGACAGATTCTACTTATTTTAATTATCATTTTGTACTGCTTTACTAACAGAGTAAAGGTTAATTTTGCATATTTAACGAATTATAATACTGCGCGTTTGTAAAGTCGCTTTCATTGGAAAATCTTGACGTTTGTATAGAAAAATATACAAGACGAAAAAAATCTCACTTTCGTCTCAAGAAAAAGATACTTGCTGTATAAAAGATTCGTTACAATTATGTCTGACCAAAACACAACTGGAAAAATATAGAAAATGATCGGTTTTTCTAAAGTAAATAAATCGTTGTATGAAAAGTCAAAATGGATTGAAAATGTTGGTAACTGAATATATTTGTTATATTGAATGTAAAAGAGTGCCAATCAAATAACAATGCAATAGTACATTTCCATTTCATACAAATGGTTTTGAGTTTGGTGCTATAACATAGTATCGGATCTGCAGATTCTTTTCCGTTTGTATATTTTAGTCTCAAAGATGTTTCCGTTTAATTTCGTAAAACTTTTTTTTTGTTTTATCGACCTATGAAAATGGTTCTTATTGGTCAAATCTGTTATTGTTTTTTTCTTCAATTTATTCTTTTTGGCCATTATTAACGTTTTGATTAGTGAATTGATCTTGAAAGGGTATAGGTCTACAATTTGCATTTTTTCCATAAGTATTCAAAAAATTGATTAAAACAATAGAAATTACCATTTGGATATTCTTATAAAATATTGTTAGGAAAAGAATGTTGATAAAGTTTTAAGTGGTGTAGTATGCACATTTATATGGTGAATGATGATATTTTGTTCTAGAACACTTCATTATCTACTATATACATATATTATGTAATATCGGACCATGTTACCCACATTTGCCAACAACATACATACACGTATAATTATTTCGCGGTTTGTTTTATGTCTTATATTAAATAATGTTAACATAATTATTTATTATAATGCAAACCTTCCATTATAGACCAATTCACTTTAATGAAAGGTCTGCAATACAGTTATTAATTCATTAGTTATATAATTACGTTCACAGTATCATACGTTACAACAAACTATAGAATAATTATATATGGATGTTGTTGTCAGTTGTGAGATACACTATCCGATATTACATAATGTATATACTAGTAGCAGATTATATATTGTTCTACCACAAAATATTAATATTCATGATATAAATGTTCATACAAAATCACTGAGAACTTTATCAGCATTTGATTTCAAGTAATAATTTTTTAAGAATATCAAAAAGGATACATTCTCATTAATTTTTTTTATTAACATTTCAAATACTTATGGTAAAGTGATGTTGTTTGGAAGCGAATTACATTTTCTACTCGTTCATCGTCTTTTTAGAGAGAGAGGAAAATATATGTAGTGATTTCTGTGGATTTTTGTGCTTTTATAAATAAACTCTAAGTAATACTGAATTAATTTTGAAGCAAATATTAAAGTCAAAAATTATTGTAGTGAGCTTTTCATACATCGGAATGACAGTCTGAATATATAAAATAACTTACCAAGGGGAATAACTACATTAAGCGGAGTTAGAATTTACAATACAATACTATCTCCCTTAGTTACATAACTTCGTTTTGTTTTGTTTACGTATGTTTACCCATTTTAGTATTCTTTTTATCATTGTTATTACTATCATCAATTCTTCTGTCAGAAATAATTTTTCACGGAATTATTTGTATTATTTGAGAACATAGAACCGGCGTACAAATTTTGCTATAATTTTAAAATGTGATTAGTAGTTTCTTTCATATATCCAGCCAGTCATGAGATTGAATTGTAACACCAAAACAGGCTGTGATAACACATTTGAAGCCCATTAAATATTCCTCATGCTTTTTTATTATCTTTTATTATGATTAAGTACAGTGAGTGTTGTGAAATAAAAATCATGTAAGCAAACTTTTACACCTTTTCGATATAATCAACATGCTTTTAAAAACAGAGTATTTATTTATTGTTATGACAACAAGGTATATACTCAAGAGACAGTTGTTTAAACTTGACTGTTTTTATAATACCCCCCCCCCACACACACACACTAACATATCGTATTTGACAATGTTTCTGACATTTCAGTATGAAAGATATTCGTATGGTGGCTTATTTGTGCCATTCGTGTTTTCGCCCCGCGACCCCGCCAAGTAAATTAATTAAAACGGCGGGGCGCGAAGCGAAAAACACGCTAATTAGCGGGAGCGCAGGGCGAAGTTTATTGAATAAAAACGTTTTTGGTGTTTTAAATATTGTCAACTGGAAAGCAAACGCTTTCGATCAAAAGTGATGGAGTGCAAATTTAGAAGTGGCAAATATAACGGTCGTTTACATACACGTATATAACCCGAGCATACGGTCATATAACTTTAAAACGAATTTATAGCTTGCATCAAACTTCCTTCTTTTTTAAGAAAAAAAGAAAGAAATTTATTTGAAAATTGGCAGCAGCCGTGTATATAAATCTACATAATAAACGTAATAATAAACGTTACGATTATTCAATGAAAAACGATGTTACAAACGTGCAGTATTATAAAATATTATTAGTCTAAGTTCCGGGATTGTAAAATTTTATTAAGTAATCCCCACACCTCAGTACTTTTGTGTATATTGTCAAAATTTACCCTACCATTCTTGTGAAAACATATATATTTGTTATGACGTTGTTTTCGCAGTTGTACTGAATACAATTCAATCAAAAGCGTCTCATGTTTGCAAAATAAAACTACGCCTAATATTTAA